GGGAAATGTGGAACTTTCCCAATTGCATTGGGAGTATCGATGGAAAACACATTCGAATTCGATGTCCCTCTAACTCGGGGACGATGTTCTACAACTACAAACATTATTTTTCGATTGTGCTTCAAGGGGTAGCTGATGCTAACTGCAAGTTCATTTCAGTAGAAGTGGGTGGATATGGCAAACAAAGTGACGGCGGAACATTCAATGCTTCCACTTTGTTTAAATTAATGGAGACAGGAGCATTAAATATCCCTCAAGATGCCTACCTACCTGGAACGAATACATCAATGCCATATGTTTTTCTTGCCGACGAGGCTTATCCGCTTCTACAACATGTTTTAAGGCCATATGCACGAAGAGATGGGACAGCAGATGAAGAATATTTCAATTCGAGACTATCTAGGGCTAGAAAGTCAGTCGAGTGTGCATTTGGAGCGATTAATGCAAAATGGAGGTTGCTTTGGAAACCCATCGAAACGGATCCAGAAGTTGCGGAGCTCATAGTAAAGGCCATATGCGTTTTGCATAATGTAATTATTGATAAGGAAGGATATCAGAGTATTCAGGCAGATGGAGAAGGTTTCCTTGAAAATAACAAAAAGGTAACCAGACAAACATTCAACCATAGCTACCGACGAACAGGAAAGCAGATTAGGGACACGTTCCGTGATTTTGTGTGCAGTACCAAGGAATTGGAATAGAAACCGAAATAAAAAATATACGATTGTTTCTTGTTTTGCTATTTCGTCCATCGTACCAGCATACCAGTGTCTCCATTGAAACAAATTTTTACACCAAACATCCTGGAAGACCTTACCAGAACATCCTGGAAGAATATCCCAGAACTTCCCAGATCTTTCTGGAAGAACTTCCAGGAACTTCATAGAACTTCCTGGAAAAGCTTACAAGAACTTCCTGGAAAAACTTCCCAGAACATTCTAGATGAACTTCCTGAAAGGTCTTCCGAGAAGTACTAAGAAGTTTTTACAGGTAGTAAGTTTTTCCATGAAGTTCTGGGAAGTTTTTCCAAGAAGTTCTAAGAAGTTCTTTCAGGAAGTTCTAGGAAGTTAACTTCCTGAAGGAACTTCCTAGAACATCCCAGAATTTCCAGGAAGAACTTTCCAGCCCTTCCTGTAAGAACTTTCCAGAACTTTGTAGAATAACTTCCCAGACCTTCCAGGAAAAAAAATCAAGAACTTCCTGAATAAACTTACTAGAAATTCCTGCACAAAAAATTCCCAGTACTTCCTGGAAGAACTACCTAGAACTTCCTGGAAGTTCTAGGATGTTCGAGGAAGAATTTCCAGGAAGTTTTGGGAAGCTCTAGGAAGTTCTTTCATGAAATTGTAGGAAGTTGGTATCCTGAAAGAACTTCCCAAAAATTCCTGGAAAAACTTTCTAGAACTTCCAGTATGAACTTTTCAGAACTTCCTAGAAGAATATTCCAGAGCTTCATGAATGAACTTCGCAGATTTTCCTGGAAGATCTTCCCAGAACTTCCGAGAAGTTTTCAGAACGCATACCTAATAATGACAAAAAAAAAACTTTTTTAAATCCTAAGGTATTTTGAGTACTTTGTAGAACCTCGAAGTAGCTCGTTGATCTTCTGAAAATTCCGTGGATGTTTTGGGAAGTTCATTAAAATTTCGAGAAATTCAACAAAGTTTTGAGACATCTACTGTTTGTAAACTTCTTAATTAAAGTGAACTCAATATTATATTACCTTTAGAACCCAATAGCGATGCATATTCAATTGTAATCAACTATCAGCGAGCTCGACGAGAATGAGACCCTCACATTAAGATTTTTTTACTGTATGCTGTAATTTTTTACCGAATATGGAACAGCTGAACATTCGGTAATTTTTTATTTACAATCCGTTCAGTAAATTTTCTTCTTGTGAGCTGTCAAAATGTATTGATCTGGGACTGTAAATTTTACTGAATGATTGGCAAAGTTTACAATAGTGTTCAGTATCTTTTTTACCGAAAATTCTGTACTTTATTTTCCTAAATGAATCCCAAAAAATATGATTCTTATTGATTAATCAATTATTTATTTCATCAAACATCACACCAAAAGATTAATTTGACTCATAAACCATTTATTTTTGTATAAGCATATGAATCGCATCAATCAATCAATGAAAAACCTGCCCGAGGTTATTGGCCGCATAGTAAACTACGCAAAAAATTTGTGGTTGAGGCGTCTGAAAACAATTGGTCCAGAAATGTAATATATTTATATTTTTGGCGTAAATTGAGCAGATTGTAACAAAAAACTAAAGTACTTACTATTCATAACAGAGAACCGAAGAACAGTCAACTTTGAAATGATAATATTGGTTAAAAAAGCTTTTGGTAAAAATTATATTTTACAGAACGATCCAGCAAAAGAAGTACCGAACAAGATTTAAGAAATTTGGTGTATTGGTGCCAAATAAATTTCGCTCCATTTTCTGATCGGTGTTCAATCATGGTATCTATCGTTTTCGCATAGTTAGGCTAGGAAAAGTAGATCGTTGCCCGCATAGAAAATAAGCAGAAGAAGAGCTTAATAACTTATTCGGGTTATCTTCCTAGCCATATGGTATCGTTGAACCATTTGTGTTATCATTGGTATATGGTACTTATTTATTAGGGTGGGACTCGATAACGTATCAGTCTCGGTTCGCAAATAGACGAGGACGAACCTCTTTAAACTAAATCACTTTTGACTCGTGTTAAATTTCTTTGAAAGTGGATGAATTGTTGCATCTCGGTGCAACTCGGTGTGTGGTGCTGCTGTTCCGTATTCTTTTTAATGCCGTTGTTTTCGTTTCCTGCTGGTTGCTCCTACCGTTTCTGTTGCCGCTAAATTCTCGACCGTGTTTCATCATCGAAGCTGCCAGGTTTGCCATTATCTACAGAACGTTTGGGACGTCTGTAGAAGTTTTAATAAATCTTTAGAAGCTTTTGAAAAGTTCGTAAAGCTTTTCAGAAGCATGTAGAACTTCTGAGGAATTCGTAGAAGTATTTTCTGAATATTGGAGGTTTTGTTTATATTTGTGCCATGCATTGAAAATTAAAAAAACCAGAACATTATCCATTCTCGTTTATAAAATATTCAAAAACATCTAATTACACTCAAAATTTAACAAAAAAGCTGAAAAACTTATATAACTAAAAAATATCACCTTCACTTTCAGTGTGCGAGCATTGGGCCTTTCTGTACACATAGTCGAGAACAACTTCTTGGATTTTAATCCTAAGTTCCAGCTTGTGGGCACCCTCCAGTTTTCTCACGTGCGGTAGCAAACTTTCTAAGAAAACAACATCTTCATCGCGATTGTTCTCAGCCTTTTTCTCAAGCAGTTCAAGCTTCCTCCCTTCGATTTCCAGCAGCCGCGCAGCGTGCTGGCTTCTCTCCGAAGACTTTTTGATTTTTTTGGCCGGAGGTTGCAAGGGTGAGCCCGAAGATCCAGCGATAGAAGGGTCGGCTACTTCAAACCAGCCTTCTGTTACCTCCAATGCCTCCACTTCGCCATAATCGATTTCATCGTCCTGATCATTGGCTGTTGGTGTGTGTGGAATCTTAAGGTTTCCGGTTGATTTTCGGGGTTTCATCTGCTGCCTCAAGAACTGCATGCAGGTAAAATATGGCCAAGTGCTGTGGCTGCTTTTATCTCCTGCATCACCGGATTTAGGTACCGGCAGCTTGCGCAGTTCCCTGGCGTAGGTATCTCGAAGGTTCTTCCACTTTTTTTTCAATTCATTTGCTGAAAATATACAATAACAATTAAGAATTAAAGAAAGAGTCGAATCAGTCATGAAAATACGTGCTGCTATAAATAAGTCGAATGCACCAAATTTGTGAAGTTTGCTCCCCAGTACAGCGAAAATAAAATATTAAACTTACCGGGAATCGAAAACTCCTTCTCAAGTTCCTTCCACCCTTTCTCCACCAGCACACGGTTCCGGTATTGTCGGGAGGTTTGATCCCACAATTCTTCCCGCAAGAAAACAGCACCGATAAAATATTCTGCATCGATTCCGGTAGCAGGTTCTGTTTCCGCCATCGTGAATTCAAAATTGATTTTTTTTATTTTAAATCACGAGAGAACAACTGACAGATACCGAAATGCGACCCGAAATCTGTTTGAAGAAGAAAACAAAACATAAACGACTTTTCGCGCGGTAATCGAGCGACAAACCAGTGCATGCAGTGTTTGGTCGCATGGTAATCGCTCATCGCGTCGCATTCGTTCGCGTTCACCGTGGCATGTCAGGCTTGTTCTTGCTTTGTTTGAATGTGCGAAGCTCGGTCGCGCGACTTCGCGCGACTTGTCAAAATTCGCGTCGCGTCGCGTCGCATCGCGAATCGCGTCTACCCTGGCCGCCACCTTACATGGCCGTGTGGATGCAAATACAAAGTCGACTAAGAGAATCTGTCAATGTTACTTAGGACCTAATGCAATGTTCAGCTTGAATTGTCTACGCAGGGGGAGGAGGGGGTATCAAGAATCCAAAAAAACTGTCTACGTAGTTAATGAACAGCCCCCTATCTACAGGCCAATGTACCAGGAGGACAAAGTTGGAAAGGTGGTTGAAGGTGCAAGCCCACTCCCCCGGGGCTGCCCTTATTTCAGTCGGTAAAGACACAGCTAAAAAGCAAAACCATGCTGGAAATGGCTGAATTCAATTTTCGGTCCGGTCTAAACAAATTTCGGACTTGGAAATTTCTCGACTTCCCTGGGCATAGAATAGAGTATGATTGTACTTGCCACTCAATTATACTAATGCAAAAACGGTACAGGCATCGAAAGCTCTCAATGAATTACTGTTGAAGGGCCTCTAGAACACTATGTTGAGAGCACGCAATAAGCTTGAAATGCGAAGAAGAAGAAGAAAGATAAAGAAAAAAGCTGCAAGCCCAAGACGCCCCCCGCTCTGATAAGATAACGCATTCGAAGGGGCATTCGGTTTCGCTTGAAGCAACAATCAATTATTATCAACTGACTAGATTAGGCACATTACTGTTCGGAAAACACTCTATTAGCAATCAAAGCAGCCAATTCCATTTTATGGTTGTCACTTCTATCCGTTGCCATTGTCACCGACGTCGTCGTCCGTCGCCGCTTGCTGTGATTAGCTCGTCAAATTTTGGACAATCTAGCTAGATTTATTAGGGTCGTTCATTTTACAGTCCAAACGACGGGGGGTGGCGGAATCTTGAATATAAAGTGAAAGTGATTGGACAAAACATTGCTGTGATTTATTGCGCTTTGTGTTTGTGTTTGTGTGTGTGTGTGCGAGTGCAGGGAAAATCGTTCGGAATTTGTCTACGTAAGCATATAACAGGGTACTTGGATTTAAATCGGATTACTACGGGGAAAAGAGTCGTACATGTCTTAGGCTAAATTTTTCTGAAGTTTAGTACGTTCCGAAGGAAAACAACGGGTGTTATTTTGGAACCATTTGTGACTCACAGAAAAAAAAGAACGACGCACATCGCACTGTAGGCAACAATGCCCCCTCCACTGAAACAACGTGAACCACCGGAAGAGGACGAGGAAGAGGAGGCTGCCGAAGTGAATTTTCCGGAATTTGATAAAAGTTAGAAATGTTATTTATGTGGAAATATAAACACGGACCATGGGCGTGGGTAGGGTTGGCATTAATGTCCTTTCATGGGCCTCGCACGCCACTGGTTCCCACCGAAGCCAACTTGGTTCACTCAGTTCGTCTATTTCAGGCCCGGCGTTCATCCACGTGCTGCTGCTGAACAAAACCCTCCGGCTGTTTGTGATCCTGGGCTTAGCGGCAATTGTTATTCCAGCCTTTGCCTACCTGTTCTTTTTCTCCCAGGAAATCGGTCACGCACCGAAGCAACAGCTCGTGGGAACATGTGGCCATCCAACGCTTTACCACATCCAGTGTGGATTCTCACACATTCCCCAGCACGAATGCCACCGGCTGGGTTGTTGCTTCACCAGTCTCTCGACATGTTACCACTCCCTGCCGTCGGAACATCAGTACCAGCTGGATGGCGATTGGTTCGATGGGGCATTCCTTGCTCCCACTCGAAACCTCACTCCTTACCTAACGACACCGGTGCCCAAAATCCAAGTTCACTTGAATGTGCTGCAGCTGACCCGGATTCAATTATCACTAACCACGGTTCCGCAGGAAGCGGCCCGGCAACAGTCACGCGGACAAATCAACATATTGGAAACTGATGAGCTGCAGGCTCGCATCTACAGTCCCACGTTTTTCGTGGAAGTGAAACGCAAGTCCAACGAGGAGATTATTTTCTCCACTGCCCGGGGGCCACTCGTCGTGACGGAGGGCTTCATCGAATGGACCCTACATCTGGGGGTGGATATTCTGTTCGGATTGGGGGAGGCTTTGCTAGAACCGGGTAGGAAATATCTGCTGCTTAACAATCAGAACGCGTCCGCCGTGCCGGTCGTCATGGGATACAGTGAGTATTGATTAAACATAAATTTAATTTCACCGCATAACGGACGACATCTACCTCGTCACAGACATGAAAACAAATCAATTCAACGGCATCGTCTTCAGCACGCCTGGTCTCACCGAGATTGAAATCGTTCGCTCCCGGCTCATCGTCGTCCGTTCCCAGTTCACCGGCCAATTCGAGTTGGAGCTCCTATCCGGTCCCAATCCAGCTGACCTACACCAGCAACTGAAAACTATCTCCCAGAACCACTACCAGCCCCCCTTTTGGTCCTACGGAGTTCATGTTTGCGATGAATCGCGAAACTCCACCCTACCCTCCATCCGATCCGCCGTTGAAACCATGCTCTCCGATGGCATCATCTTCGATTCCCACTGCATCGACGACGATATGTTTTGGTTGTCGAACACGATGGCCATAACCATGCAATTGGAAGAGATAATGCAGCTTCTATCCAACAACAGCAAACGGTTCGTCCCGTCGGTTGTCATGGTACTGGAACCGACGGGTAATTCCGTTTACACCACTGCCCGCACCTACGGCCTACTGCTGCGAAGTGCGTACAACATTGCATCGTACCGAGGGGTGGTTCGCAATCGTACCGCAGTCTACTTGGATTGGCGCACGGAGCGTCACGAGATGACACTGTGGCTGGATCAGACGTGGACGAGCGTACGGAACTTGAACGCTTCCGGGTATAGTTTGAAGGAGGGCTCTTTGCGGGATGATGGGAACAAAACCTACCCAAGCAGAAGTCAGTTGACGTATCTACCAGAAAGGTTGAACAGCTCGATTGCGGATTTGATTCGATGGGATACAAAGCTTTCGAACAGTATGGAGATGGTGGTTAGGAGTCAGAACCGGATGGGACCGGAGATGGTGAGGAGAGTTGAGCGGAAGGTGGAAGAGGGGAGTTTGTTGATTACAGGAACATATGATTTGAAGACGAAGGCAGCGATCGTGGCGCAGAACGTTTCCGGGACGTGGATATCGCTGAGGACTGAGGTGAATCGAGCAATTGGACTATCCTTAGCGGGGCTAAGCTTCATTGGAACGCCGATCTGTGGCAATGCAAGGGATAATGTTACGGAGGAATTGTGCATCCGGTGGTACCAGTTTGGGTCGCTCCTGCCACTGTTCAAGGTCTCCGAAGATCGCATGCCGAATCGCTTTAGCAAATTTGCCGAACGAATCATGCTGTCGTCGATAAGAAAGCGATATGCCTTGTTGGAGTACATAAATACGTTGATTGTGACGAATTCGCCATATCTAAGGCCGATGTACTATCACTATGAGGAAGCACGCAACTACACGACCGAGCTGTGGGAGCAGTTCATGGTTGGGGATTCACTTCTGGTGGCTCCCGTATTGCTACCGCAAATGACGCAGATCGATATCTACTTTCCGGAGACGTTCTACGAATTGTGGGCCGGAGGAGAGCTGCCAACAAACGATGTGCTGCAGTATGCGGTCGTAGAGTCTGATTTACCGATGTTCTTAAGACCAAGCTGCGTCGTTGGTTTGAGGCAAATCTCCGATCAAGTACTGGGAATCGATGAGGCACGTCTTCAGCCCATGTATCTGACCGGAGCTGTCGGTTGCAATATTAGGAAGACGAAATGCGAAGCAGCCGGGACTTTGCTGTTCACGAACGGATTCGGCCTGAGCTTTCACATCACGCTGGAACAGGCGAGTGTCGCTGAAGACTTTTCTATGTTGTTGGGTAAAATTACTTTTTCTTTTTTTTTTTCTAGGAACTCGTGGTCCGCATTCGATTGACGCTTGTGAGCGAGTCGCTCAAAAGTTTAGCTTGTTCCCCCGCAGAAAAGTCCCTATCCGGAGAAGTGCTATTTGTTCAGTTGTACGGCCACCCGAACCGCACGGACCCACTGGTGGAGCAGCTCAACTTTGACCTGTGCCAACTGACGGCAACGGAAATGGAAAGCGTCTATCGCTTTGAAAATAACGACCGAGAAGTGGAAGTCCCTTAATATGTTCCTGTTTAATAAATTTACTGCTGTGTGTACCGGTAGCGAGATAAGCGTTTGCTTTCTCCGAAATCCCTACAGAAGGAGATGTTATTCTATAGCTTCTATATATAGATCTCGCATGAATGCACGCAAAGTTCACAACCGAATTAAACCCGCCCGCAGTCGAAAGGTAAAACCAACTGTCTTTCCAAGAAGCGTGTCATGAGGCGTCAAATTACCACTCGTCGTCTTCGTCGTCGCACAGTGGGACGAAATAAAAAAAAAAAGTGGGACATGGACATTTGCGACGAAACTATTGAGTGTATCATTTCGATGTCTTCTAGAATGTTTCTTCATGTTTTGAATACTTTATTTGAGTGGTAAAAAACGGTTTTTCAGGGGGTACTACTGTTTATACTCCATTTTCACCCTATAGCTTTGCCCACTTGAGAGATAGAAAATTGTCATCTTGGGCTTTTAAGTTTCTTAAAACGACTTTCCCTACAATGTTTCCATGAACGTTCATCAATTTTAACAAGACATACACATTTTTTTCTGAGTGAGTGTATACCCCCCTTAAGCAAAAAATTCACCACTCAAATAAGGTACTCAAAAAATGAAGAAACATTCTAGAAGACATTAAAATGCTACACTCAATAGTTTCGTTGTAAATGGCCATGTCCCACTTTTTTGGATTGCATCCCATTGTGCGTCGTTGGCGAATCATGGCCAACTGCATTGCAATGCGGAGGATGGAGAAACAGGAGAATATGAGAAACAGCAACGACGCGACGCTTGATTTGCTGAATGCCATTTGTCGTCAAGTGAGCTTTTGGGAGGGTGGATTTTCCTGGGAATTCAAAACTTTTCTATCTATGTACATTAATCTATTACACTTCTCCGAAAAGAAATCCAATCTTTCGAGGTGGAGGAGTTTGCTGCAAGCGACACAAGTTGACATTTAGAATGTTTGCGTTGTTCAGTTACAGTTTGCTGATGTAGTTATCAATTTAGGACTTCGGGGAACCCCGGTGTGATCTTACCACGCTAAGCAAACTGAGCAGTTATGACATGTTATAAGTCTATCTTGATGGCATCTTGAAGCTTTGCATAATTTGGGCAATAATTAACATTTTTTGCTGAAATTTGACCTCTTTTTTTCCTCTGTTCGGGACATAACACTACTGCGACCAGTAATTTGATCTATTGTAGTATATCCCGTGTCCTTAGTTTAGTGCATGTCGTATTACTCCATCACTATTGAGAAATGATGAAGTATTCGGTTTTGATACAGTTGTCATTCTTGCCTTCATCGCAAGGAATCGATTCTAATTGAAAGGTCCCGCTATTTATACCCTTCGGAGTTGGAACACCCTCCAAAGGCACGCCCCTTTGTCAGTCAAAATTGAATTCCTTAACAACAAAAACAAGCTATGACACCGATAATGACCATGCATCAAAACCCTAGTCTTAACCACTTCAAACTAGGGAACAACGATTAGAAGATTTGGAATCACATAGGTGAAGACTAACTAACTCATTTTTCCTTTTTTAAAGATCATCCTCGGTCCAGGCAACCCGAGGACTTATCACTATCAACAGGGCATAAAAAGTAACAAGGACTAAGATGTGTTTCTTTGATTACTGAAAAATCCTGTTCCCCTAGTTTGAAGAAGTCAGGACTAGGAATCGGTGGTAGATCTTACATCCCGTAACGTACCACGAAAAGGTGATCTACCCACGTTTATGGATATTGTAGTTTTTCAAAATGGCGTCTTTGGCATTTTTCAATAAATTGTAGCCCGAAAACGTCACTTCTGATCGAAATGTTTTTTAGAATAGTTAAGTCTTTTTTTTTTTTTTCCTTTGGTTTGTTTTTTCCGTCGATCTTGTTTTCCGTGCTGAGCACCAATGCTACCGACGTGCCAGGAAGGCAGCTCTCACACCTGGACCCTACCTATCGACCCATCAACTCATGAACCGGGGACCAACGGCTTTACTTCCCATCCGAAGGAAGGCGTGATCAGAGATGTTATGCCTCAGAACATCCCGGCGGCGCCGACTGGGATTGAACCCAGGCCTGCTGGGGTGAGAGGTAATCACGCTTACCACTACACCACCGGCGCCGTTAGTTAAGTCTTTTTGGGAAATAATATATTTTGATGTTTTTTTAATCATCTTGCCCCTTAAATGCTGTACAGAAGGCCTGGCCATTTTGGTATGTGTGACGCATCTTCGATCAAATAGACAAGAAAACTGATGAAGGTAAATTAATCATTCTCCAGGATGCTTTCAAGAACTGGCTGTGTTGGTGTTGGATTAGATTAGACTCTTTGTCTCATTTCCCTGAAGCCGTCGGATCTTTGCGGAAGTTTTCTAAAAATTTCGGAACACCTTCAAAGTTCCAGCAATTTCCTTGAAAGTTCTCTGATATATGTTCTAATGTACTCAGAGGTTACCTGAACTTCTTTGTACGGTCCTGAAATAAATTGAAATGTCCTGAAAACCATTAATGGGCTACAAAATGGTGAGTTGACAACCTGGAAGGAGCGGAATACCTAGCCCTGGTCCTCACAAGTTCCTACTTCACGCCTTCCCGAGTCATATGATAACAAAAGACTACCAGCTGAAACATGGACACAGCTGGGTGGCGTAGCCTGGGCAATGTTGCCAGTCCGGCAATAGCAAAGTGAAGAGGTGCGACGCGAAATGCTTCACCAAACCCGAGCGTCTGTTCACCATGGAGGTGCGGCTTAAAACGGCGTCTGTTCTCCATGTTAGGAGCGGCTGATCACCGTCCTAGTGCCAGTGTGGGACTCTAAACAGAGCTGTGCACGATGATCCCCCGGCGAGACAGGGGTTGGGGCATGCCCAACAAGGACTACGGTTGGAAACTCGGAACATGGAACTGCAAATCGCTCGGCTTCCCGGGCTGCGATAGGTTAATCTATGAAGTAGAAGGCGACCTGCGGACCCTTCGCAGACTACGAGGCTGGCAAAGTGTGGCCATGGATCGAGTAGAGTGGAGACGACTTCTTCGGACAGCAGAGGACAACAAGGCCTTAGCCTGTTTGGCAAGGTAAGTATGAAAACCATTAAACTTCTTTGGAGTACTCTGGACTTCTGTGAAGTTTCCAAAATATTACTGATGTTTTCTTAAGTTCTCGGGAGTTCTCTGGACATTCCTGAAAATCCCGGAACTTCTGTGTGTGTGTGTGTGTGTGTGTGTGTGTGTGTGTGTGTGTGTGTGTGTGTGTGTGTGTGTGTGTGTGTGTGTGTGTGTGTGTGTGTGTGTGTGTGTGTGTGTGTGTGTGTGTGTGTGTGTCATCCTCTATCCCTCAACCAGCCGGGGGCGTTGGACAAGTAGAACTGCGAATAATTTGATCAAATCTCATGCTCCGTAATGGTGCCCTTTATGTTGTGAAGACTAGTACTTCAAAAAGGGTAACTTTTGAGGCAAGACAGGGTGTCCTCAACAAGTTAAGGGAACAGGATGCATTAGATGTCCACAACAGGTACAGCAAAACATCACATAGACGCCCTTATTCACACTAACTACTCAGGGGGTAGAAGGTCAAGAAGAGCCACCGCCGCCAACTAAAGCTTGAACTGAGTACCTGGGACTCCCACGATATACCTGCGGCAATGGTCAGCAGACGATGCCCTGTGCGTATTTAGTATGTAATAGGGGAAATGCAGGTAATATCGGCCTAAGTGTCCCTAATTTGGGTCCATACATAAATTCAACAATCGATTAAATTTTCGATAGCAACCAAAAATATGCATTAGTAACGTCCCAATGACGCGTTCATCTAGATACAATTGTTAAATAGCAGATTTTTAGCGATGGGCCCAATCTTGGATCCATAGGCCAACATTAGAGACATTTCCCCTATGTTTTATTTGGATACACAAAATGTTTGAAGCCATGCGTCATCTAAACCATAATTTGCATCACTACAAATACACTTTTCAACAATCTTCAACTGGAACGTACTCACCAAATCACTACACCTTCCACGCATATTTTTCTCTAGTCATCCCTTAAACAATTCCTCCTCCAGCGACTCCAACCACACAATAACCAAATAGGGGAAATGTCTCTAATTGTTGGCCTATGTATCTAATATTGGGCCCATCGCTAAAAATCTGCTATTTATCAATTTTATCTAGATGAACGCGTTATTGGGACGTTACTAATGGATATTTTTGGTTGCTATTGAAAATTTAGTCGATTGCTGAATTTATGTATGGGCCCAAATTAGGGACACTTAGGCCGAACATTACCTGCATTTCCCCTATCACTTTTCTTTTTCAATCCTTAAAATCCCGGAACTTCTTAAGGAAAATTGTTAAATCTTTAAAACAAGTTCCAAAAAGTTCCGATCGGTTTTTCAGAGATCTTAAGGGTGATTCCAATTAAGTAAGGCAAAGACTTTATGAAAGTCCACATCATTAAGGGTAGGTTCCATTACAAGATAGATCCATTAACTTCTGGAAAATTCCGATAGCCCTTAAGTTCTCAAAACGCCTTTGAAGTTATTGCAGTTGAATTTCATGAAGCATCTCTAAACTTCCCAGAATGTTCCAAAAGTTTTCGGAACTTCCCTTATGTTCCCGTTGTTTGTTTATGAAATGTTTCATTCTTCAAAACTATTAATTTCATACATTCATTTACATTCATTTGCCTCTAACTTTTTTCATCAACAACATTCCGCAAAATGATGTATAGAGCTTTTGTAGGTTTTGTTATTAGCAACAACTTTTGCTCATAACTCAAATCTGTATCTGTATCTGAAGTAGAGCGGGCAGAACTTGGTACTATTTTTCAGTGAATACATTCACTGAAAAACAGTAGAGGCTTTTGTTCGCTCTGGTTCGTCATGCATCAGAAAAACGGATTTGACTTGTTAACAAAAGTTGTAGCTAATAACAAAACCTACAAAAGCACTATACATCATTTTGCGGAATGCTGTTGATGAAAAAAGTAAGTGGCAAATGAATGTAAATGAATGCACGAAATGAATGCAAATGATTTTCCATGCCTGCCCAC